GGTAGGTAGTGACAAGCGGCGGGGCGCATTACCGCCATCTATGCGAAAATCAGCTCGATTTCTTCTTCGGGTTTTTGCATTTTGCCACCTGTCCGACGGGATGACTGCCCTAACTATAATCCAGGTGATCTAATGGAGCATTGTTTACATCCAGTGTGAACGTCTCGGTGTCGCGTTTGTTTGCAGTCCTTTAATAAAGTCAGTCATTCACAGTGAGTGTTCGTGTTCTTCATATTCTCCTGCCAGCGTTTACGCAAACGACTCTGTCCACGTCACGCTTCATCGTGCTAACAAGCTACCAGCGGCTCTGCTGAAGCTGGTCCATCAGCTGGAGGACGTGGTGAAGCCGACCGATGATCAGTGTGCACGCGGTCTGCGTCAATATGATGGTTCAATCACCATTGTTGATGCAGACGTGTATCGGTGGAGCTGATCGATTGTCCAGAGGGCTGCGATGTGCAGCAGCAGTTTGTGCCTGCTGTTTCCTCTCGCACTGCAAAAGCTGGCGATGTCTGAATACTTTTAGAAAATCAAACTTGTGATCTCTGCACAGAGTGAGAGAGGAAGGAAGCTGAAGCTAAAAGATTGTAGTTATATAAAGAAAGTTAGAATATGAAGTATTTATTGAACCTTTGATGAAGACATTAACAACCAACAAATCAATCCGTTTGTCATTCATAAATCCAAGTTCCTGTTAAAATGCTTTGGTTACAGTGTCACAGATTTTATATTCATGTATGAACTATAGTATTTATTAAAATAAAGTTATTAACTTTATTTGTTTACACATTGTGAGTTCATTGGCGTGAAAGTGTGCCCCTCCTTCCTGATTTCCTCATTCTTTGTGTGTCACACTTCAGTGTTTCAGATCATCAAACAAATGTAAACATTAGACAAAGAGAACACAAGTAAACAAAATGCTGTTTCTAAATGAAGGTGTTTTTGTTTGAGGGGTAAATAATCCAAACCTACATGGTCCTTTGTGAAAAAGTGATGCCCCATAAACAGAATAACTGGTTGGGCCACCCTCAGCAGCAACAACGGCAATCAAGCATTTATGATAACAATGAGTCTTTGACAGCGCTGACGAGAAACTGTCTCATTTTTGCAGAATTGGAGGATTTTTGAGCAGAACCATCTTTTCGTGCCACAGCATCTCAGTTGGATTCAGGTCAGGACTGTAACTAAGGCACTCCAAAACCTTCATCCACTCACAGGTGGACTCACTGGTGTGTTTTGGATCATTGTCCTGCTGCAGAAGTGCGCTTCACCGTGAGGTCTTGAACAGATGCCCAGACATAAAGCAAAACAGCCCCCGACCGTCACACTACCAACACCATATTCTCCT